TAATAAACGATAACACATCGTATTTATCGTTCTAATCTGTTGGGGAAAGACGTTTTATGAAATAATTGAGAACTCTGGAAAGTCAGGGAGAACTTTTATAAGTGAAAACAATTGTTCGAAGGCATTTCTAATTAAAAGATATTACGTGTAATTAAATAATAATTAAAATTCAATAAATAGTTAAAGTAAATTAATTATAAATTAAGTTAAATTGAATTAAATAATTGAAATGAATTAAATTATATTAAATTATAAATTAAAATAAATAATTAATATTCAAAGATTTACAGCAAGAAAAGAGGACGCACACATTCTTACACATTTTTTGTTACGCATCCTGTTTTCTTGAAAAGAACGTCATCTTTCGTTTGCTGCTATTTTTTTTTTTTTTTTTTAAATATTCTTATCAGTATGCTTTTGATCTCTTCTGTAGTTTCTTTTGTTTTCTAAACCGAGATTAAAATTGAAATACAAAAGTTGGAGAAACGAATGTTGGTTAACCATAAATTTATAACAAGTTTGAGTGACTTTCTGACTTTGAATTCGTTCACTGGAATTACGCAGAAGCGAGGTTTAATTTCTCTTCTGAAATCGGCAGATTTTTCAATTTTGTATCTATCTTCCAAGTTAGTTTCCACTCGATGTTATTAAATTGAATATTACCATTATTCGGCAAGATATTGTGCGATTGAATATTATTATCAGTTAGTAACAGAAAGATACAGAATACCTAATTACGATTGCTCGTCGAATATATACAGTAGGGTGAAAAATTGAGTCAGTAACAAAAATTGGTAAGAGAAATATTTTTTTATTTGTTAAATAAAGTACAAAAACATGAAAATGAACTTGACTATCTGATTTCTTTATAGTTTCAGGAAACTGAAGCTATTTTTTACCTTTAAAATTAGGTTTCTTCCTGGCTGAAAAAAATTAAAAAAACATAGACATCAATTTTGCACCAGAATTTTAGAAACTATAAAGAATCAGATAGTCAAGTTTATTTTCATGTTTTTTTACACTTTATTTAACAATAAAAAATATTTCTCTTGAAAATTTTTGTTATTCACTCAATTTTTCACCCCACTGTATAGAGCATTAGGTATTTTTATTCTGTATCTTTCTGTTACCAACTGATAATAATATTCAATCGCACAATATCTTGCCGATTAATAATAATATTCAATCCAATTCCAAGCTAGCTTGGAAGATAGATACAATATCGAAAAATCTGCCGATTTCAGAAGAGAAATCAAACCTCACTGTGATTATTCGTATCGCGGAAGTCGCTCGTCGGCCGAGTTCGTATCGCTTTAAACGTTGAGGACCAAAAGCTATCAGTCGGAAAGGACGTGGGTACCTGCGTGTACCTGCCAGACTGGCCTGACGTTCGTTGCCAGTCCAGCATCCTTTTATGGGGTTGAACTGCATTCTTCGACGACTTATGTACGTTGGGTTCATCGACGGCTCATCCTTCTTAAAATAGGATCGATACACGGATCGATACGCCAACTAGAATGAACTTGAAATATTTACCACGATGTTGACTAATCCTGCTGTTCCCCTTGATTTCTATCCCTTCAGATACCTTCTTCTTTCCAGAGGAACTTATAAGTATTATAAAATTGCGCGATTTTTCTTCTTGATCGTTTTCCAACTATCGTCGATCGTGGATCATGGATCATGGATCATGCACTGGCTAGAGTGAATTTGAAATAATTGTTATTTAATTATTTCCTTCGATTTGTATTTCTTCAAGTATCTCTCGTATGTCTTCTTCTTTTTTCGAGGAGTTTCTTCTGAATGTTATAAAATTGCGCAGTTTTTCTTCTTGATCATTTTACTTATTTTTAACTATCATCGATCATGGATCGCTGGCTAGAGTGAATTTAAAATACTTGTTATTCAATTATTTCCTTTGATTTGTATCTCTTCGAGATTTCTTCTTTTTCGAAGAATTCCCAAGTATTATAAAATTGCGCGATTTTCCTTCCTGATCATTTTCAAAATATCATCGATTATGGATCACGGATCATGGATCACCGGCTAGAGTGAATTTAAAATATTTGTTATTTAATTATTTCCTTTGATTTGTATTTCTTCAACATTTCTTCTTTTTCGAAGAACTTCTAAGTATTATAAAATTGCGCGATTTCCCTGCTTTTTAAAATGATTGAATTATTTTTCTTGGTTTTGTATTTCTTTAGATATCTCCTCCTTTCGCAAAGAGTGTTTAGATATCATAAATATGCGCGATATTTCTTCTCGATCTTTCTTAACCCTTAAATGGACCTCCAACTTTACAAATTACAGTTTAATAGTTTAATAGAGTTTATGTTTAACTCAATTAATGATATTTATAGTTTAGATGTTATAAAATTTGAAATTATCTACGTACTAGTAACATTTATATGTATAATAATCGGCCATGTAGATTGATATCATAGCAGCAGAGGTGAAAGGGAAAGTTTTAGGGGGTATGAAAGTGGAATTTCAATTACTTCGGTATTAAATGTCACTTGTTGCGCTTGATATTGATAATATATAGAGGAGAGAAGATGAAGTTGAATCGTTACTTTGGCTTTGTATAGTAACAGTATTTTGTATAGTATAGTAAATGATATTTTAATATTTTGGACAGTATAGTAAATAATATTTTAGTATTTTGCATAGTACAGTAAATAATATTTTAATATTTTGCATAGTATAGTAAATAATATTTTAATATTTTGCATAATATAGTAAATAATATTTTAATATTTTGCATAATATAGTAAATAATATTTTAATATTTTGCATAGTATAGTAAATAATATTTTAATATTTTCTATAGTATAGTAAATAATATTTTAATATTTTGCATAATATAGTAAATAATATTTTAATATTTTGCATAGTATAGTAAATAATATTTTAATATTTTGCATAATATAGTAAATAATATTTTAATATTTTGCATAATATAGTAAATAATATTTTAATATTTTGTATAGTATAGTAAATGATATTTTAATATTTTCTATAGTATAATAAATAATATTTTAATATTTTGCATAGTACAGTAAATAATACTTTAATATTTTCTATAGTATAGTAAATAATATTTTAATATTTTGTATAGTATAGTAAATAATATTTTAATATTTTCTATAGTATAATAAATAATATTTTAATATTTTGCATAGTACAGTAAATAATACTTTAATATTTTCTATAGTATAGTAAATAATATTTTAATATTTTGTATAGTATAGTAAATAATATTTTAATATTTTCTATAGTATAATAAATAATATTTTAATATTTTGCATAGTACAGTAAATAATACTTTAATATTTTCTATAGTATAGTAAATAATATTTTAATATTTTGTATAATAAATATTTTAATATTTTGCATAGTATATAGCATAGTAAATAATATTTTAATATACATTAAAATATTACATTTATCATACGCACACACACACACACACTCACATATATATAATTATTATTTTTGCCTCTGTATTCTACCCCCTACAATTTTTCTTCAATTCTCAAGAGTTCCCAGAAATTTCGAGAATACCGAATTTTCTCGAGAATTCTCAGACACTTTCTCCTGAAACTTTCGAATCCTGCGATATTTTCGGGATGCTCCCGAGCATCGAGTCCCCGAATAGAATATTTTCGGGTTCTCTATAGCAAGCGTTTCTCACTGCTTTCGTTCAAAAAGACGAGGTCGTTCACGGTTCGTTCACATCGATGATAGTGACGCGCACGTTAATTTAGGCTAACAATAAGATCACGAAAGGCGCCGCGTTTCCTCGACGATATTCGTCAAAGTCGTCCGGTAGATGACATCATTGTTTGCTCCGAAAAACGGATGGCCGAGGATCCCGTTGTCATACCGCGGTGGCACTTTAATTGAACTCACTTGAAGCCGAGTGAAACATAAGGCGGTTTTCCTCGTAAGCGAGGCACGTTCATTGTTGGCCTCCGTTTCATTTGAAACGTTCGTTTCGTTTTATCTCGTTGGCGGCGTTTTGCTTCCCGAAATAGCCGCTCGAGTTGTAGAAACGACTAGGATTTTATGGGATTCAATTGATTAGAAGGACGAGCCCGCTCGGTACGTGCTTGCAATCTCTGAAAGCAAAGGAACGTGGCTCGTTGCTCGCTAATTCCGTGAATCTTGATCGGAAAGCTCCGGCGTCTCTCGTTCTTTCGGAGAAGTTGCGTTAGATTTCTATTCTTTTTTTTCTAGCAAAATATTTGAACTTGAATGAAGCTTCTTGTGGAAGGTTATTTTACATTTTAAAGTTAAAAATATTTTATATTGAGTTAAATATTTTAAGTAAAGTATTTTAAATATTTATTTTAAATATTTTAAGTAAAATATTTTAATTATTTTAAGTTAAATATTTTAAGTTTAATATTTTAAATATTTTAAGTTTAATATTTTAAGTTAAATATTTTAAATATTTTAAGTTTAATATTTTAAATATTTTAAGTTTAATATTTTAAATATTTTAAGTTTAATATTTTAAATATTTTAAGTTAAATATTTTAAATATTTTAAAATATTTTAAAATTATTTATTTTAAATATTTTAAAATTATTTATTTTAAATATTTTAAAATTATTTATTTTAAATATTTTAAATATTTTACGTTACTTAATTTTGGAACTTTCAGTTTGATTCAATTTTATCACCAATCTCCATCAGGAGGAACATAAATATAAAATATTTACAAAGTCGAAGTTTTCACTTTCATGACAGTTAAACAACTTTCGAACAGACTGTTAGCTCTTTATTTTGCCAAGATTAAATACTGAAACTACTTCGTCAGAATCGTGTTTCAAAAATTTTTTTTAAATGAAAATCTAGACTTCCCGAAGATCCTTCAAGATTTGGTTTTGAACTCAAAGTGTCTGGAAAAAAATGAGAGTCGTTCTCCCACTATGAAGACCTCGCAGTAACGAACAGTGATAAATCTTCTTTTTTTTTTAATTTTGTTGCAGCAAAAATGTGTGAAAGCACGTGCCCTGTACGACAATATCGCGGAGGCTCCGGACGAGTTGGCTTTCCGAAAGGGCGATGTTCTCACTGTGCTGGAACAGAACACCGCTGGCCTCGAGGGTTGGTGGCTCTGCGCCCTGCGAGGTAGACAGGTAATTACTTCCTTTTAACGGAACTTTTCGCCGTACTTTTTCCAACAAGAAGCTGATTATATTCCACTCGGTGAGAGTATTTCGTCTTTTCTTTTTTTTTTCTTTTTTTTTTTAATGTAAGAATAGAAAATTCGAACGCGACGAGACTTGTCTCCTTTAGTCGTCGCATAAACGAGTTAACGTTATTAATTAATTACCGTGTAACCACTCGGTGCAGCCGGGAAACTTTTCGAGAGAAAGTTGCAGGCTCATTAGCGATTTCAAATAAATGTTTAATTAAGTCAGCGTGGAATCTCTGAGCGTGCACGAAGTAACTCTTTTACACGTTAAAAGGATTAAGTTAGCGCGAAGATGCAGATGGAGGGATTTCTAGACTGATATAATATCAGAGTGTCTAATTTTCTGATCTGAGTAGCAATAGCTGCTTAATCTCTTGCGCGGAGACCATAACGAGTGACCAAACCAAACGTATACAACGATTCGTCTTATTTTTTTGAATTCATATCGTTACATCATTGGACAGAAATTACTGAGAAGTGATAAATTTATCATTTGTTTCGCCTGGATTATATTTCAATGTACTTGAAACTGAGAAAATATATTTGGCCCAAGAATTGCAGTATTTTCTCAGTTTTAAAAGGACACAGGCGAGACGAATAATGATAAATTTGTTTCTCAATAATTTCTATCCAGTGATATCACACCGACGAGTTCGAAAAGAAAAAGAAAGCGACGAATTATAACGGTTCGGTCACTCGTTACGGTCCGCAATCAGCGCAACGTTGTTAAAAACCAAAAGTCGTAGATGAGCGAGTATATTCTGTGATATCTGGTTTGTCGCGAAATTAAATTCATTTCTCAAAAGATTCAACGTTTCTTTTTTAAAAGTCATTCGTGAAATATAAATTAACATAGTACTGAAGTCCCATTTTTCCTCAGTCTCTAATACCGTACAATGAACTTCGTAGATAGTCAAATAGAGAATTTCATCGTCTTTAACCAACCTCCCCCCCACTCTGGATTCACAAAGATTTCGCAATTGCCCTAGTTGAGACGATCGAACAGCCACTTACGTAAACGTCCGCGTTCATCGAGATCGCATGTGTTCGGTCGCAAAAGTCTCGCTCTATCAACGCTCGACAGACTTTATCAGCTGTTCTAGACAAGAAACATACCAGCCAACATCTGTATAGACGTGCGTCAGAATGTTATTTATCCTGTCGGCATTCACGAACGAGATATCTCTCGAACGCGACGTCATTCGTGATATATCGTGGACGAAATGTCTTCCGTGTTCAATTCTTAACGTGTTTACACTCCCTGTAATTGTTGAAATACTTTCGAAGAATTAACTGACTCTGAATAACTCGAGGATTGTTGTCACGAATTATTTGAAATGTTACTGTATGAAATATTGATGTAGTTGTTACGTATATTTATTGATTTAATTACTACATATATTTCAAATCGTCGACTTTTCAATTTTTTTAATCTAACGACTTCCAACAAATTTTTATCAACTTTTTATTAACTAATTGTAAATTAGATTCAGATTTCTAATTTGAGGCTCCCACATTTTCATTACACGTCCGTATATTCCAAACCCCCAACTTTAAGGGTAGTTTTCACCCCTTCGACATCGACGATTGCTAAAAAAGAAATATTTTTCCGAAAATTGCATTTTTGCCAAATTTCACCAAAATCGGTGATCGATACACTTCGACACGTTCCCTTATAAATGAAACTTTGAAGATTTTTGAAATTAATTTTTATCTAATTCTTTTATATTTATATTTATCTAATTTTATCATTATATGTTATTTATTAATATTTATATTTATCTAATTTTATCATTATATGTTATTTATTAATATTTATATTTATCTAATTTTATCGTTATGTTATTTATTAATATTTATATTTATCTAATTTTATCATTATATGTTATTTATTAATATTTATATTTATCTAATTTTATCGTTATGTTATTTATTAATATTTATATTTATCTAATTTTATCATTATATGTTATTTATTAATATTTATATTTATCTAATTTTATCGTTATGTTATTTATTAATATTTATATTTATCTAATTTTATCATTATATGTTATTTATTAATATTTATATTTATCTAATTTTATCGTTATGTTATTTATTAATATTTATATTTATCTAATTTTATCATTATATGTTATTTATTAATATTTATATTTATCTAATTTTATCATTATTATTTATTTTAGTCATCAATCAGATAATTTTATCATTATGTTATTTATTAATATTTATATTTATCTAATTTTATCATTATTATTTATTTTAGTCATCAATCAGATAATTTTATCACTATATGTTATTTATTAATATTTATATTTATCTAATTTTATCATTATATGTTATTTATTAATATTTATATTTATCTAATTTTATCGTTATGTTATTTATTAATATTTATATTTATCTAATTTTATCATTATATGTTATTTATTAATATTTATATTTATCTAATTTTATCATTATTATTTATTTTAGTCATCAATCAGATAATTTTATCATTATGTTATTTATTAATATTTATATTTATCTAATTTTATCATTATTATTTATTTTAGTCATCAATCAGATAATTTTATCACTATATGTTATTTATTAATATTTATATTTATCTAATTTTATCACTTAATGTTATTTATTAATATTTATATTTATCTAATTTTATCATTATATGTTATTTATTAATATTTATATTTATCTAATCTTATCATTACATGTTATTTATTAATATTTATATTTATCTAATTTCATCATTTAATGTTATTTATTAATATTTATATTTATCTAATTTTATCATTATTATTTATTTTAGTCATCAATCAGATATTATCGTTTATATTTACATATTTATATATTTCAATTAGACATCCGTTAGAGTATTGCTAGGTATTCTAGTTGGTCAGTTAATTACACATTAACATAGATAGAGAAAGTCCCACGTTGGGAATGACGGGTCTAAAGTTTGAAATGTATCTACATATCGCGCAAACGCGTAAATGCGAAAGAATCAAGAAGCAATTCGAGATGCAACTGGACCCTATACATCTATAGATAGAGTTTGCTCCTCTCTTTCTCTCCTCTTCGCTTAGCACATGACATTATTATCGCGGAAATGGGACGTTAGGCCGCACCGTTACGGCCTTCGATCTAAGATCTTCATCTGTGGCCAACTGAACCGAAGAGGGGAAACCCGTAGGAACGAGTTCGAAAGTGCGATCCGAGTTGGATCGTTTCCGCGTTCGACATCTGTTCGAAATATTTCGAGACGACGCCGACGTCTACTGGCTCTCCGCGATCTACGGCACCCTCGATCTGACTAGGCTTTTATCTACGATATTCTGAAACCTGTCCAACATAGTAACAGCCCGTCCATGTCATGCCTGTTCAGGCAACGCGTTGGATGCTCTTGGAATGCGGAGGTTTGTGACGATTATACTGTTAAGCGAGGTCGGTTCTTATACAGGATGTCCGTAAAGTCTCTATACAATTTCAAAAATTCATCACAATGGCAAATGAAAAGATAGATAAGTAGAAATTATTGCGAAGTGAGACGTATGTGTTTAAGTTTCTTTGCCTCATTTAATACACCTCTAACTGCTCATGAAGCACATCAAGACGGTACTCTTTATCAAAATAGAGGCTCTGTACTTTAAAAAGGTACCAATTGTTGAAGTTGCAACAATTTAAAATGTCAACAATTTGTGATTAGTTGTTACTAAACTGCGGATTTGTAGGAAATTCGCAGGAAATTTTGCAAGTACGAGATTACGCGCGAAACTGCAAACATATAAAATATTCGAATTATTTATTTTTATAATATAATATTTTATATAATAGAACTTTTTGTAATTTATAATATAATTGATATAATTTATGTATAATATAACTTTTTATGATTTATAATATAACTGATATAATTTATATATAATATAACTTTTTATAATTTATAATACAATTGATATAATTTATATATAAGTTTTCATAATTTATAATACAATTGAGATAATTTATATATAACATAACTTTTTATAATTTATAATTGATATAATTTACATATAATATAACATAACTTTTTATAATACAATTATTTTATAATACAATTATTTATAATACTTTATAATACAATTATTTTATAATTTATAATACAATTGATATAATTTACATATAACATAACATAACTTTTTATAATTTATAATTGATATAATTTACATATAATATAACGTAACTTTTTATAATTTATAATATAATTTATATATAATTTATAATTTATAATATAATTTATATATAATTTATAATTTAGAATACAATTTATATATAATTTATAATTTATAATATAATTTATAATATAATTTATATATAATTTATAATTTAGAATACAATTTATATATAATTTATAATTTATAATATAATTTATATATAACGTAACTTTTTACAATATTCAATACGTAAAACAATTGGTACATTTCTAACTACAAATGTTTTTAATAAAACGTAAATAAAAATCCCATATTCTTCGATGTGGAAGATCGAAGTAGAAAAAAAAGAAAGAAAGGCTTAGAGATAGAGAAACAGTCAAGACTGAGAGAAACCGCTGAACTAGATCATTTTCGATCAAATCTCTACAATTTTCTACCGAGATTCTGTTTTTTAAACTATGGTCGAAAAGATAGAAACTTGCATAAGAACCCTAATCTAGTCTAGTTGTCACAATTATTACGCTTCTCCGTCGTGTCTCTTCAATTTGAGATTCTTCTTCGTGATCCTTATCCTGTAGAGTATAGAGCCTGTCATTCGCCATATCGGCCGCTTCAACGTAGACAGAAGGATACAGCGCGCATATGGCGCTCGTTGAAAAGGAACTGTGGGGGTGGTTCGAACTGGAAATTGGAAAACAGGGTGGGTGCCCCGGTGTACTACAAGTTTACGGGGAAATTACTCGCGTTATGAGTTGCTGCAGCTGCGGCTCGATGCGCC